AGGCTGGCAGGCTACAGTTCATGGGGTTGCAAGAGTCAGACATGTCTTAGCGAATAAATCACCACCACCATTTGGAAAAACGCTGTCCTTTCCTCTTCTCTACTCTTAGCAGTGCACAGAACACTTCTGCCACCAGATGTTCCCACACTGACCAATTCTGCCACATTATCTGAACATTCTATAAGCAATCCAGTTCTGACACTATCTATCTGTACTTAACATCGGGTCCCAGAAGTTAGGGCTCAGTCCTCCAAGACAGCCCTCACTTCAGATGCCAGTTGCAAGTCCCAGGTTGTCACCTGTGCCTTTGACTGCTGCTACGGCTTAGTCACTTCAGTCACATCTGACTCTGTGCAACCCCATGGACTATATAGCCTGCTATGTTCATTGTCCATGGGGATTCTCCAGCAAGAATACTGGAGTGGGTTTCCATGCCTTCCTCCAGGAGATCTTCCCCACCCAGGAATCAAACCCAGGTCTTCCACATTGCAGGCAGATTGTTTACCATCTGAGCCACCAGGGAAGTCTGACTGGTTGTAAATTGAGGTTTCCACAGTCCCCTCCTTGGATTTGATAATTTGCTAAGATGGCTCACAGAACTCAAGGGAACACTTACATGCACCAATTTATTATACAACAAAGAATTTGATAGAGGATACAGATGAAGAGCCAAATGAAGGAAATACATGGGATGGGGTCTCAAAAGGTCCCAAGCACAGGAGCTTCTGTCCTCATGGAGCTGGGTGTGCTGCCCTCCAAGCGTGTGGATGTATTCAGCAACCCAGAAACTCTCCAATCCCATACTGTTGGGGTTTTTAATGGAGACTTCATCACATAGGCATGATTGGTTATTAACTCATTTTCCAGTCCCCTCCACTCCCTGGAGAATAGGGGTTAGGACCAGAAGTTCCGAGGTTCTCCTCATGGCTTGGTCATTCCGGTGACCATGTGGCCTCCATGTGAGAGCCCACCAAAAGTCACCTCATTGGAACAAAAGACACTCCTGTCATCCAGAATATTCCAAGGGATTTAGGAGCCTTGTGTATGACATTTCCATCACTCGGGAAATATTAGGGTCAGGAACTGGGATTTAATGAAGACCAAATGTTAACATGAGCTGGGGGTAGAGACCAATATATGCTTCTTACTATTCCACATGGGTCCATGATAGCAGTGTCTGGGGAGTGGGAACACTGGTTGGGTGAGGAGGCGATCTGAGCAAAACACGAGTTGCATTTCCTACAGACCCAGAGAGTCAATAGGTTGCATTATTTAGGAGTTTGGGCTTTGAAATTAGACAGACCTAGGTTTTGGATCCTAGGTCTACCACTTGAGTAGCTCGGCCACCTAACTTTGCTGACCCTCAGTTTCTTCATCTGTAAAATGGGATTAATAATAATGGCACTGCCCTATTAGAGTTGTAGAAAAACTCAAGTCTAATAATTCAAGTAAGGCACCTGGCGGTTTTCTTGATATGGATTAGTAACTGTTCTTTATTAAGTTCTTATAATTATTATAAAATTTATTTACTATAGCACCTCATAATACCTGGTGCTCAATAGTTATAGTGCATAGACTGATAAGGTAAATGAGAATTTGATGACCAACTATTGGGAAAAGTGCCCCCAGGGGACCTTGTGTAAGGGAAAGGAGAGATGGGTGTGTCCAGCTCCAGGACAGTGACTACCAACTGTACTTATGTTCCCCAAGAGGACAGTGTGTGTCCTGCAATCTCCATAGCTCCCTTTGGTCCTTTAGAACAACATCAGTGCATTAATCCCAGACTTGTTTTCTATGCTGATTATGTAGGGTTCCCAACACAGGATGGAATGAAAACAGACCAGCTGAGAGACCCATCTCAGACATATTTACATTTCCCAGAGGAATTTTGGGAGCCAAAATAGTCCTGTGATTTAAAGACAAGGGTAGGCAGTCTAAGAATGGGAAGGAGAATACATACACCATCAGGAAAAGTCACAATCAGCTCTTCGAGAACTGGGTATCAGTATTTTTTTAAATGGATAGAGTTGCATTAAGGGATATAGGACTCCTTTTAAGCACAGCATCACGTGACCTACAATAACCATCCATTCCTTCACACCCACAGTAAGGTGCAGACACTCCTACTGAAAAGGAGTCAATGAAACAGTCTGTAGGACCCAGCTCCTCAGGGCCAGCAGTGTGACCCTGCTCCTAATTTTTGATATGTGTTCAAGGTGCCCATCCATACAACCCACCCTCCCATTCAGCCTCTCTGCATCTACTTGTATCCTGTTGAGCTTGACACTAGCCAGTAGTGAAGATGGTTCTCTTATTTTTGAAGCAATGAGGTGGACAGAATGAAATGTGGTTTGTGTTCATTGTTATTTTCCAAGCCTGTTTGCAGCTCTTTGTAATTGTGTCATTTGGATCTATGGTGAGGCTGGGTGACCTGCTTTAGAGCAGCATCTGTGAAGGCTGAGAGACTGTCACCTTTGCATGGTGTGCCATCAGGCATTTCTTGTGCCACCCCGCTTGTGCCTGCTATTCTTTGATTTTTTTTGCCTCTAAGCACGACCCTCACCTGTGATACTGTCATGGGGATGTGATGGCTGATTTCACATCCTTGATTTTCTCAAACAGATTTCGCTGTCTGTCCTCTTGTCTCATAAGTGTGTATGTACCTGTCTCATCATGAGTCCATATTTTGATTTGAAAAACCCTGTTCATTTAGATTTGGGGTTAGTGGGGTGGGTGAGAAGAAAGAGAGAGTGTTGTATGTGTATGTGTTTGTGTGTGTGTGTATGTTTTAGTCCTAAGACATACAATGAGCATCTATTATGGGCTCTGAGGTTACCAAGAGGAACACAGCACAGATCCTTCCCTCAGGAGAGCTCACAGTTTGGGGTCTAAAGAGACAGAAGGGTAAACAATTATAGACAGCATCAAAGGTTACAATGGAGAACACCCAGGACCATAGTGGAACACACAGGAAGGATGTAACTCTGCTGGAAGGATCAAAGATGTCTTCCTGAACAGCATGCTGTAGAGCCGAGTCTGGCGGAAGGAGCAAATAACTTTTCAGGGAACTGTGGGGAACAGACAATAGGGGTAACATATACCCAATTGGAGAGGCAAGAAGCAGTGCATGGCATTTGGAAACTGCAAGATGAGAGGCAGTTTGGCTAAGAAGAACATGGCTCAGAGTCAGACAAACTCAAGTCAGAACTGAGATTTCACCTGTCTGAGCCTATCAGCTCACTCAAAAGTAGAAACTTCAATAGGTTGTTGCTGAGATGACATAAAGAAGCTAGCCCACTTGGTGCTCATAGCAGATTCTCAATAAATGGTGCCTCTTTGGCACCCAGGCCCTATACTTGAACTTGGAGTGTTGGTTAGGGAAGCACTGCAGGAAATGAAGCTGGGAAGGCAAGTATGACCAGATCACAAAAGGCATTTTGGGGCGCATTACTCACAGTCTCCTGTGGGGCATATGGTGAAACTGTGGACTTTCTTCCCAGAAAAATGCACTTTACACACGTTGTTAATACAGCTCAAGGGGTTTGAAGTCCGCCTGTGGCATTTATAGGTGGTTAAGTACCTGCCCATAGACACCGGGGGCCATGGATGAGTTTTAGGGCAGAAGCATAGCAGGATCCAACTTCTATTTTTGAAGGATGGTGGCCGTGTGGTGGAAGTTGGAGCCGAGGTTAGAGGGAATCTAGAGAGTGGTGTGTCTGGAAGTACAGGTGAGAGATGAGACATGGAAGTGGATGCAAAAGAGGGGCTCAATTTCAGAACTACTTTAGAATAAAATCAGATGGGATTTTATGGCCCACTGGAATTTTTTAAAAGTTATTTATTAGTCTCTGATATTTGTGTGCATGCTCATTCGTGTCTGGCTCTTTGCAACCCTATGGACTGTAGCCTGCCAGGTTCCTCTGTCCATGGGATTTTTCAGGCAAGAATACTGGAGTATTGCTATTTGCTCCTCCAGGGGATCTTTGTGACCTGGAGATCGAACCTGCATCTCTTGCATTGGCAGGCAGATTCTTTTACCCATTGAACCACCTGGGAAGCCCAAGCTCTGATATTTACTTATTTATTTATGTTTTGGCCACACTGCACAGCATGTAGGATCCTAATTCCCCATCCAGGGATGGAAATCAGCATCCCCTGCTTTGGAAGCACAGGAATCTCAACCACTGGACTGCCAGGGAAGTCCCGACCCATTGGAGTTTAGTATTAGCCTCCAGATTTCTGGTCGTCTGGCACCATAAATCAGGACAGCTTGCTGTGTGCCAGTGGTGAGGGGTGAGGCTCCCCATCAGCAGCTGGACCTCTGTGTCTGGAGCTCAGGGCAGAAGTCAGGGCTAGTTTGGATAGGGATGTGGGGATCCTCAGAGGACAGAGGGTGGGTGGAGATGTACATAAGGATGAATTGTTGAGCTGCTGTACAGAGGAAGCCAGAGTGTTGGGTATGACAGACCAGAGGCAGAAGCCTGGAAAAATGTCTTTATCTGGGGAGATGAAGTGTAAGCAAAAAAAGAAAAAAGAAAAAGAGCAGACTCAGCTAAGAAAGGAGGTGGGAGACTTCTTAGGAGGAGGTGGAGAAGCAAGAGAGAGTGATGCCATGGGAGCAGTGAAGCAGGGAAGGCGAACATCTCAGAGGGAAGCAAGCGGTCAGCAGTGTCAGAGGCAGCCAGGGAGCCTTGACAGACGGGCCCGGAAGCCGCCTCCCCAGCTCAGCCGATCGGAAGGAGAATGTGGGGGAGCCTGGAGCCTTTCAGTGGAACGGCTGGGGCTGAAAGCTGGCCATGAGGGGGTCAAGAAATTAAAGGTTAAGGAACTGGTGTTGATAAGAACACAATGTGTGTGTGTGTGTGTGTGTGTGTGTGTGTGTGTGTGTGTGTAAGAAAGGCAGAGAAAATTATTACTGGATCACGTTGGAGAGTCACTTTTGAATGATATCCCCACATATTCACTTTGTGGGTTTTTTTGTTTGTTTGTATTTTGGGAAGAAATCTCTCAGAATCTGTTCTGCGGAAGGTGACCTTGGGAGGAGGCCGTCTGAACCCGAGGTGTCCAGGCCCAGGGTCGGGTCCTCCCCCGGCAGCTGTGTACAGGCAGATGCCGGCCTGTGCAGGGACGCGGGCGGAGAGGACCATGCCGAGGCCGAGCCGCACGAGTACTTCAACGTCCTGAGCTACAGAAGCCTGGCCAGCTTCAGCTTCCCTACAGAGACGGGTTAGCGCCCGGGCATCCTCCAGGAGACCCAGTCCGGTCTTTGTCGTCACAGATGGACGTATTGGCATCTGCAAGTCACGGCTCTGTGTGTATGTGTGTGTGTGCATGTGTGTGCGTGTGTGTTCTGTCAAGTGAATGCATGTCATCCTCCTTTGTGTCTATGTTTCCTCTACCGGTCCCTCCAGTTCCATGGTGCAGACCCCGGTGAGGAGCTTGTATTTGATTACAAATGCGAAGTTAGAACACCGAACAAAGACCTGACCCGGTTTTGAATTTGGTAGTGGGAGCAGATCCTATGGCTGAGATCTGCATCCCCTCTGAAAGCACTGGGCAGGGCTTAGGGCTATAGGGCTTTGTGGTGGGTGATGGTGGTGGGGTGACTGCAGAGAAACCTCATTTCATTTGTCACTGTCATTTTCATCAACGTTCACACACTGGAGGCATGCTACCAGCTTCTAGTGGGCTTCCCAGATGGTGCTAGTGGTAAAGAACTCACCTGCCAGTACAAGAGATGTAAAAGACGTGGGTTTGATCCCTGGGTTGGGAAGATGCCCTGGAGGAGGGCATGGCAACAGACTCTAGTATTCTTGCCTGGAGAATCCCCATGGACAGAGGAGCCTGGCACACTACAGTCCATAGGGTCCCAAAGAGTTGAACATGTCTGAGTGACTTAGCACACATGTACCTGCTTCTGTGCAGATTGAAGAATGAGTAAATGCAGACTCTTTCAGAGTCCTAGCCCTGTAAGAACTCACAGTTAAGTCAGGAGACAACATGTACATTAAAAGGTAGTGAGGAGATAAGGGTCTAAGACACAAGCCTTTGGGAAGAAATGTCAGTTCAGGATGAGATGGTCAGGATAAGCTTTTCTGTGGGTAAGTGGCTTGGGAGGATGTGGGGAACAGTGAGGCTGGGGTGGGAGAGCAAGAGTTTTGTCTAGGGAAGTCATAGATAGGAAAGTTGAGAGGGAAAAGTCCCACACAGAAGACCCTGGCACCAAGGGAGCAAGCAAGACTTCAGAGTTTATTTTCCGGGCAGACTATTCAAATCTCCTTTTGCTGGATGTACTCAGAGGCCAGTGATGGCCGGATACAGAGAACTCTAGGCTTTTCCAGCCACATGTGCTGGGGAAGCCCACAGAAATGGTGCATGTCCACTGCAGGAGCTATATAGTTTGATCCTTGGACTGTGATCTACTTCTCTATCAATCTACCATTGAGTCTTTGAAGAAAGAATCTGTTTCCCACCAAAGAGGAAATCTTAATTTTTAAAATAGAGACTCTTCCTAGAAAAACAAAAGAGGATGAAAGCAGGTTTAAAAAAATGAGCACCTCAAACTAGCTGCCTGGAACCCTTACAGTCATGCCCTTACCTTTTTGTGCTGGGGTTGGAGTGGCATCAGAGTGGATCATTTCTGGCATTCAGGCTTTATCCTCCCACCACGTCTCTTAGAAAAAGGAGGGAGGTTGGGTTTACAGGAGACAGATTTTCTTTCATGGGCACAGGAACTGAGAGAAAATGTGAACCTAGACTGTCCTTTGCCAGAAGATCCCCTGGAGAAGGAAATGGCAACCCACTCCAGTTCTCTTGTCTGGAAAATCCCATGGACAGAGGAGCCTGGTAGGCTATGGTCCAAGGGGTCGCAAAGACTGAGCGACTTTACTTTCACTTTCTTTTCACTTTCAAAATAGAGCATTGCTCTGCTCCCTCAGAATCAGGCTGTTGAGGGAGAAGACAATTCAACTCCTACTCCTCCTTGGATTTTTATTTTTCTCACTTCTGTATCAAACAGGTATGTAGTCAGGAGCAATGAACTGAAATATGTCCAGAATGCCAAGTCCTTTGGAAGAGAGACAGACACTTATAAAAATGCTGCTTTTTTGCCATGGCAGTTCACAATTTCTTTCTTGCAAGGCTAGTGCAGATTGATTGGGAGTAGAAGACAATTCACAATTCACAAATGAACTAACATATAATGACAAAAAGGGAGTGGTACTTTGATTTGAAGAAGATGCAAATTTGGTTGAGGCCAGACCGAGAGATGGATGCCATTTAACATGACTATGATAGTTATTTAACATGATTAGATAGGGAAACATTTCCAAATGTCGTTTGGATGGTACTAAAAATAAAAAGGGACCCACAGATGTTGCAAATGGGTCAGGTTATTAAAATGAGATTGAATTAGACAAAATATAAATCTGAAAGTAGAATTCACTGAAGCAGATTTTCTCTGGAGAACTGAGAAGATAGTCTTCTAAAAGCCATATACCTGGATACATGCCTGTCCAGTACAGCAATCACTCTCCATGTGTGGCTCTCACATGGCATGTGGTTAGTCCTATTGAGCTGGACTGTGCTAGAAGTAGAAAATACACACCAGATTGTGAAAACAATGTGAATAATAGAAATGTAAATGGTCACATGATTAATTGAAAAATATTGATTACATGTTGAAATTATAATATTTTGTATATATTGTGTTAAATAAAATATATTATTAAAATGGATTTCACCTGTTTCTTTTTACTTTCTTAATGTGGCTACTGGAAAATCTAAAATTGCATATGTAGCTCCCATTATATTTGCGTTGGACTGTGAAACCATAGACTTTAAATCTCAGTCAAGGTGGTACTTAAGATGGGTGTCTATCTCTGACTGATAGGCTCTGTCTCTCTCTCTATCATTCAAAATAGGGACTGAGGAAGGTTTCCTCTCTTACTGTGTCCTTTGAGAAATACAGGAAAAGATCACAAGAGAGATTGAGGTGGGGGACCATTAAGTATAGACAGGAAGAGCTCCTAAGAGCTCCTGGATCCCCTCTTAGAGTCCATGATAGGGGGAAGGGAGAATAAATGGATCAATAAATGTGAGTTTGAAGAAAAATACATTTACACCATACTCCTTATCACTCCATATTCTAAGCCTGGGCATATAGTCTGATCTGTAACCCAATGAATTACACTGAACACGTAAGAGAAATTATGAGTCATGGATATTTGAGGCAGATGATATTCATGAGTGGACAGAAACTTCCCATGCAATTTTATCTCATGACTTGTTCCTACTCAGCTAGACAGGGAGGGTGGCTGTGTGTGCGGAACAAGAATGGCAGGGTTCTGGTGGGCTCAAATCCCACCAAAGGAGGGAGTCAGCAGAATGGCTGTAGCTGCCAACTATGAGAAATCAGTGTTTTGTTCAGTTTTCTGGTTCTTTCCAGTCCTGCAACCTTGCAGTCAACTCCCAAATCCATTCCTAAGCACACCTTCCCAGAGACCCAGGAGAGCATTATGTGTGCAAAAGAGTGAGTTTTCTGGAAGTCAGAATTATATTCTTCTAAGTTTGGGGTTTCCCCGGTGGCTCAGATGGTAAAGAATCTGCCTACAATACAGGAGACCTGGATTCAATCCCAGGGATGGGGCGATCCCCTGGAGAAGGGAATCATTGCTCGTATTCTTGCCTGGAAAATTCCATGGACAGAGGAGCCTGGCAGGCTATAGTCTATGGGGTTGTAAAGAGTCGGATACAACGGAGCAACTAACAAATACACTTTGGGAGAATTTTTGCATAAGTCTAGGACTGTGTGCTGTGCTTAGTCGCTCAATTGTGTTTGATTCTTTGTGACCCCGTGGACTGCAGCCCACCAGGCTCCTCTGTCCATGGGGATTCTCCAAGCAAAAATACTGGATTGTGTTGCCATGCCCTCCTCCAAGTGATCTTCTGAACCCAGGGATCGAACCCAGGTCTCCTGCATTGCAGGTGGATTCTTTACAGTCTGAGCCATCCAATAAAGCTTTCTATAATGATGGAAACCTTCTACATCTGTGCTCTCCAATATGGCAGCCAAGAGCCATAAGTAGTCATGATTTCAATCAGCACTTGAAATGTGGCTAATGTGACTAAGGGTGTTAATGTTAAATTTTATTTAATTTTGATTAACTTAATGTAAATAGCAACATGTGACTGGTGCCTAGCATATTAGATATCACAATTCTAGTAAATGCCTTGTGTATGGAGAAAACACAGAGAGGTATGTCTATCAGCCACTGGATAGATCTTCAGATGTTATGCACTTGAAAGGGCTATCAACAGGACGAAACATGGAGGTCTTCTGTTCTCTTCTGTCCTTCCTTTGATCAAGACAAACGTGGTACCAAATGCAAGCTATGCATTTCCTTATTTCACATACTTCTCCATAGGTATCTGAGGTAGCTAAGTGGCTCCTGTAAACAGGATAAGAACTGGCAAGAAGTTTGTAACTCACAGGTGTTATGCAAGAATAGACTTGCATCACAGGACTTTCCCTGGACTACAGTCATCTTGACTTCATATCAGAATGTTGTGAAGAGCATCATCCCTGCTATTAAAAGTCTAGTTGACTGTATAGAGAGCAGAAGAGCAGTAGCTGTGGTGTGTCATGGATTGGGAGTCAGGATACTTGTCCAAGCACTGAATGCTACTAGTTAAGTTTCATGGCATTGGATAAGCCACTTAACCTATTGACCTTCATTACAAATGTTTCCTCATTTGTAAAATGGTAATAATAATATCTACCTTATAAGGTTCTTGGAGAGATGAAGTAAGATAACATGGTTGAGTTTTTTGTAAGCTGTAAAATGCTGGATTAATGTTATTATTGTGCTAGGCATTGCTTATAATGATGCTACAGAGGTCCCTGGGGTGGCAGGGGGCATCAAATCTTGTTGGGATTTAAAGAATGCTGAGAAGTTGCAGATATATTCTTGCGGCCTGCAAGCTCTTGGTAAGTATTTACAACTTTTGTGTGTTAAGTGAGATGGTGGTCTTTAGCAAAGTCAAATGTGTGTTGGATGTTGATGATCTTCTTATAATAGGGTATTGTTGCTGTCTTCAGTCTTCATATTTGTGTTTCTAATTAAGTTTATTTCAAGACATGGGAACCTAATTCAGAACAGATTAGCATGCTCCAGGAGGGTAAAGCAGTGGAAGAGTTTGCAGTAGTTGAAATACTAGGAAAGTGATGGAA